AATCACAGGCCATTTAGCACACTATGAATGGATATTCAGGCTACATGAACCATTGCATTAATTTTTATGAACCATACCTTTGTAATGCTTTCAGCTAAATTGCAGTTTGCTAAGCATTTTTAACATAATGCACTGTATAACAGTTTCTTATTTTTGTAAACAATTTTGTAAAGATTATTACAGTAACATGTTAAAGAAAAGACAAGCATATCTTTCCATAGCAGGACAATCTGTTCACTGTTAAATATTCTATATTAAAGAAACAATAAACACACCTTTTGTGTTGGATTTTCTGCAATTATCAAATAGTTTGAAAATGGAATTGTTTACTGAGAGGAGACTGGTTACTTTGTTCTTGCAAGAAGGAGTAATTAATTTTCTAAGAAAAGAAAATTACTTGGAAGTTATTAATATTGTCCAAAAGGCAGAACTGAAACTGCAATACTATATGCACACCAGAGCCTGGAATGTTTCGATTCAAAAATTAATTTCTCAATGTTAAACGGTAGAAATTGGGAGGCTAATTTATTGATGTTGATAACTAGAAATGAAACTGGAACTATTTATATCAGTTTTCAAAACAGGCTTTTTGTTTTGTTTGTTTTTACAGAGAATGGAATGGAGACTATAGAAATTAATTTCTAGTAAAATGCTTTTCTTATTGGCTCATTTAAAAGTACTCATTTTATCACTGGAAAGTTGCATTCGTGTGCTTTAGCCATTCTTTTCCAGAAGGACTACAAAGCCCAAAATATGATTGCTCTTGGGGATGATAGGATTAAAGTATCTAGAAACCGTCAGGTTGGGAAAAGCTATCCTAAGCACGGGATCTTATTTTAGTTAAGTGCTGTAATTGATTTTATTTATTTACTGTATTTTTACCGCACTCTATCTCAACCCCGAAGGGACTCAGAGCGGCTTCCAAATTGGCGATAATTCAGTGCCACAATAAACATAAACATACAAATACAATATGCGTTATGCATTAAAATCAATAGAAACAATAAAAACTATAGCATACCAATACATTAAATAAACTGTTATACCACAAAGACCTGAAATCATAGTCCAGGAGCCATTCCAATCATATTACAAGCACTTCGTAGCTGCCTCTTGCACTGTGCTACTTTCCAAACACTTGGTTCCACAGCCAGGTTTTAAGTTTCTTTCTAAAGGCCTGGAGGGAGGGAGCCGATCTAATTTCACTAGGGAGTTCCACAGCTGAGGGGCCACCACTGAGAAGGCCTTGTCCCTCGTCGCCATCAGCCACACCTGTGAAGGAGGTTGGACTGAGAGCAGGATCTCCCCAGATCTTAGCGTCCAAGCTGATTCATTGGAGGAGGTACATTCTGACAGGTAAGCTGTGCCAGAATTGTTTAGGGTTACCCAGGACTTTATTGTCCTTGGTAGCAAATTGGCAGCCAGTGGAGCTGACACAGCAAGGGGGTTGTATGTCCCTTGTATGCCACTCTGGTTAGCAATCTGGCTGCCGCCCATTGGACTACTTGAAGCTTCCAAACAGTCTTTAAAGGCAATCCCATGTAGAGTGTGTTGCAGTAGTCTATTTGAGATGTAACAGGAGCATGGATCACTGTGGCCAAATTTGGCTCCTCAAGGTATGGGTGCAGCTGGCACACACGTTTTAATTGTGCAAAAGCTCTCCTGGCCACCCCCAAAACCTAGGAAACCAGGAGAACTCCCAAGCTGCAAACCTATGACTTCAGGGGGAGTGTAACCCCATCCAGCACAGCCTGTAACACAATAGTCTGTTTGGCCTTTCGACTGACCAGGAGTACCTTTGTCTTGTCTGGATACAATTGCAATTTATTTGTTCTCATCCAGATCATCACAGCTGCCAGGCAACGGTTCAGGACCTGGACAGCTTCCTTAGCAGTAGGTGGAAAAGAGTGATAAGAGTTGAATGTCATCTGCATACAGATGGAATCGAATTGCAAAACTCTGGATGATCTCTCCCAGCAGATCTGCATCTCCCTTTCGTCCTCTACCAATATTTTTTGCTAATTCTTTTCATAATAAATAAAACCATTATTGAAACTGAATGATCTGCATGTTAGGAAAAGTATAGAGGCTATTTTGAGTAGGCATTGATACAAGATGGGAAGTCTTGGGACAGTTCACATTTTGGACAATAAAAGTAGAAATGCCACTAAATAGAAATGTAAGAGTGATGAATTCTATTCCAACTGGAAGACACAGCAGAGACCTCTAGATCACAGTGTCAAACATAGTAGTATACACTATGTACAGTGTCAAACATAGTAGTATACACTATGTACCTTAACCAATGTTACTTTTAAAGGTTAATGTTATGTTTAAGATTTAATGGGTGGGCGTTACCACATTCCCTCAGAAAAAGGGCTCTAGACTAGTCTAGAGTCCCCCCAGGGGTGAGAAAGGTGGTATATAAATACTGTAAATAATAGTTAAGTACTCTAGACTTTTAAAAAGCCAATTAAAGAAACACTGGATGAGATCCAATGGTCAGAAATGCTCAAAGGAAAGAGAATTAATGATGGATGAGAATTTCTTGAAGGCAAAATATCGAATCACAACTTCAAATAATTCCAACGAAAGGGAAAAGTTGGAAATGTCCAAAGCAGAGATGTTTTAAGGTGTCAAGAACAAGGAATAACTTCCACCATCCAGGTTCCCAGGATGACTCAGGAAGGTGACATCTCTTCCCTTTTCTCAGCTAAAAAACTGTAGTTGAATGGTGCACAGGAGTTTCCTGCCACCTTCCCAGCCAATGATTGCCTATAGGGAGGGGTATGGCCTAGTACCTTCTAAGAGGTGTTGTGCATGGGGAGCTTCACTACACAAATAATAAATGATAGGTTCTTCTGCAAAATCTTAAAAGGAATACACTGTTGTATAAGAAAGTTATGTCCACAGATCTTACCAACAGGATTCCAACCGGTTTGTGTGTGTAATGTGATGCTTTCCCTACTCTGGAGTAGATCTATCATAGTCATGAGACCACCAAACATTCCTCCTCCTCCTCCTCCTCCTTTTCTTTCTTTCTTTCTTTCTTTATTTATTTACCTTACTTGTATACCGCAGTTTCTCAGCCCAACAGGCGACTCAACGCGGTTTACAACAAGGATAAGAATCAATCAACGATATACAAAAGCATAATATACAATATTGACACAACAATAGACAACACAATGCATCTCATAACTAGAGTCGTGATCCAATCCGTCGTCCAAATTTCCATTCCTGTAATCATCACATTCATTGCACTGTTTAACCGAATGCCCGTTCAAACATCCAAGTTTTTAATCTTCTTCGGAACACCATTAGCGAGGGGGCTGATCTTACCTCCATAGGAAGGGCGTTCCACAGCCGGGGGGCCACCACAGAAAAGGCCCTGTCTCTCGTCCCCGCCAGCCGCACCTGTGAAGCAGGCGGGATAGAGAGCAGGGCCTCCCCAGAAGATCTTAGGGTCCTGGCGGGCTGATAGGCAGAGATACGTTCGGATAGGTAACTTGGGCCAGAACCGTTTAGGGCTTTATAGGCCAACGCCAGCACTTTGAATTGAGCCCGGTAGCAAATCGGCAGCCAGTGGAGCTGGTGCAGCAGAGGAGTTGTATGCTCCCTGCGCTCCGCTCCTGTTAGTATCATGGCTGCCGAGCGTTGGACTAGCTGGAGCTTCCAAGCTGTCTTCAAAGGCAACCCCACGTAGAGAGCGTTGCAGTAGTCTAGACGGGATGTAACCAGAGCGTGGACTACCGTGGCCAAGTCAGACTTCCCAAGGTACGGGCGCAGTTGGCGCACAAGTTTTAACTGTGCAAATGCTCCCCTGTCACCGCTGAAACCTGAGGTTCCAGGCTCAGCGATGAGTCCAGGATCACACCCAAACTGCGAACCTGCGTCTTCAGGGGGAGTGCGACCCCATCCAACACAGGCTGTAACCCTATACCCTGTTCGGCCTTACGACTGACCAGGAGTACCTCTGTCTTGTCTGGATTCAATTTCAATTTGTTCGCCCTCATCCAGACCGTCACAGTGGCCAAGCACCGGTTCAGGACCTCGACAGCCTCCTTAGTAGCAGGTGGGAAGGAGTGACAGAGTTGGACATCATCCGCATACAGATGACACCGCACCCCAAAACTCCGGATGATCTCACCCAGCGGCTTTATGTAGATGTTAAACAACATGGGAGACAGTATTGAACCCTGAGGAACCCCAGAAGACAAAGGTTGTGGGGTTGAACAGGAGTCTCCCAGTAACACCTTCTGAGACCGACCCTCAAGGAAGTACCGAAGCCACTGTAAAACAGTACCTCCAGACCCATCCCCGCGAGGCGTCCCAGAAGGATACCGTGGTCGACAGTATCGAAGGCCGCTGAGAGGTCCAGCAGCACCAACAGGGACACACTCCCCCTGTCGAGCTCCCGACGCAGATCATCCACTAAGGCGACTAAAGCCAGACTGTGCCGGGTCCAGATAATCCGTGTCTACCAAGAATGCCTGGAGTTGTGAGGCCACCACACGTTCCAGGACTTTGCCCAAGAAGGGGAGATTGGAAACAGGCCGATAGTTGACGAATTGAGTGGGGTCCAGTGATGGTTTTTTCAACAGTGGTTTTATTACAGCTTGTTTTAACAGATGGAGCTTTAACATTTTTAACATTTAGTGTGGCAACCAGAACTAAAAATAGGTTTTAGGTATTATGTCTTTACCACAGTTACATAAATATGGGGCAAAAATCCCAACACACACACACACACACACACACACACACACACACACATATATATATATATATATATATATATATATAATAGTCTGTCATCAGAGGTGATTGGATTCTGATGCAGTCAAGGGGGTTTTCTTATCAGTATGACTGCTGATCCTGTCAATGCTCTCCTCACTGTGTCTTGTCTATCCTATCCATAAATTTCACTTTCCTCTCTCAAGAAAAAGCAAAGTTGCTTGAAAATATAGACAAAAAGTATAAAACAGAAAACACTGAATGAGAATCAAAGCTGGAATTTAATCAGGATGTCCAAGAATGCATTAACAACCAAATACGAAAAGGGGGAAACAGCCAGAATTCAGTGTGTATGATCTTGCTCTCCTGGAAAACTATCAGGAGTTCATTCCCTTGTTTCACAAAACTGTACTGGAAGATGGAGAAAGAGGAATGGACATACTACTCCGTTGTCTTTTTTTATCTTCTATTATTGAAGCTACACTCTAAAAAGAGAGAGAACATACAGTTTTAAGTTATAATAGAATTAAGGCTGATAAATTAGAAATAAGGAGAGAAGTTCAAACAAAAAAGATCCATACCATTCGGTTCAAACCTCTAGCCATTTCCAGGGCACCTTTGCCAAACTGAAAAGATACACATGGACATATTACATTTGTCATTTAAAATATTTTGTGGCTTTAAAATAGTGTAACAAAGGTTATCCAAAAACTTATTCTCATTTCTGTTACCTCATTTTTAACCTCAGGATCTGCTCCCCTCTCAAGCAATAGTGTAACCAAGTCTTCATGGTTATTTAATGCAGCAATCTGAAAGCAAAAACAGAGGGAGTACAGGTTTTTATACATCTTTTGAAGATTTCAAGGGATTTTTTGACAACAAAAGTAACATTTACCTACTAAAAGTCACATCTATTATTATTATTATTATTATTATTATTATTATTATTATTATTATTATAAACACAAAAAGATTAGTACATGGCAAACGAGGTCACTCTGCTGGCTATTGTATTGAATCACATGTCGGACACTTCCCAAGTGTCTAGGACTGTGTGATATATTGGCGAATAATGCATGCAGATCCCAGTAGAGTGGCCTTTTGCATCTGACAGGTGGTAATTTCATCAGCGCCGATTGTGTTTAAGTGCAGGCCAAGGTCTTTAGGCACTGCACCCAGTGTGCCGATAACCACTGGGACCACCTTTACTGGCTTGTGCCAGAGTCTTAATAATAATAATAATAATAATTATTATTATTATTATTATTATTCCACCTATTAAAAGTAGGTTACAATAACACAAAAAAATGTAAAAGATACAAAGGAAATGAAAAAGAGGAGAGAAAACAAAAAATGAAAGACAGATTAAAAAGTACATCACGCATATATAATTGCTTTACATAATAACTAGCTGTCCCCACCCCACGTTGCTGTGGCCCAGTTGCTGTAGCCTCGTCTGTGTTTATGTGTTTTTTGTGTGTATATATTTGTGTTTATATATTTCTGTATATGTGTATATATGTTTGCATATGTGTGTGTGTGTGTGTGTGTGTGTGTGTGTGTGTGTGTGATTTTGCGCATGCGTTGTAATTTAATTTTTGGTTTTTGGCTTTTTAAGTCCCTTCCACTCTGTTTTTCAGTGTTTTATGAGTGATGGTCACTTGTTGGCCTGATAGGTGTATTGTATCCAAATTTGGTGTCAATTCATCCAGTGGATTTTGAGTTATGTTAATCCCACAAACTGACATTACATTTTTATTTATATAGATTGCCTATTGATGTGTCAGTTGCATTGTGTTAATTTTGTGATTATTTTAAAATTTGGTATGATACCTATTTTGTTTTGTTATCTGCTATGTTTTTATGACTGTAAGCCATTTCGAGTCCCTTGCTGGGAGATGGGGTGAGATATAAATAAAGTTTTATTATTATTATATGCATGCATACACATATACACCAACATTACAATTAGCAAGGTCTACTGCAGTGGTGGAAAACGTGTGGCCCTTTATGTGTTTTGGACCTCAGCTCCCAGAATTCCTAGCTATTGGACAAGCTGGCTAGGGCTTCTGGGAGTTGGGAGTCCCAAATACAGGTTGTGGAGGCCTGATCTAGTGCATTGTTTCGACACAATGGGCCCTATACATGTATGAAACAGTGAACTCCTATAATATCATCCAGAACACTTTCTTAGTAGGGAAGAGATCTCATTCATTCCTCGGACTTATATCCCATTTTTAGTTGGTTGTATAAAATAAAGTTTGTTCCCCCAAAAGAGACAAATGATGGAAACAGAAGAGTTCTAAATGAGAATTGACAACTTTTTCTGCAATGAGATACAATGGTTACATAATTTCAATAAGACTAACAAATGGAATATTGGTTCACAATGTCCAGAATCCTCTAAAACAGTGACTAGTTTAGGGGATACGTAGGAACCATACAAGTCCCTACCAGGAAGCAGCCACTGCAATCAACAGCGGTCTATTTCCTTGTCTATCAGGCAGCAGCTAACTGGCATTCCCAAACTCTATGCAAGTGATCTCTGGCATGAAAGGGAATTTTTACAGGGACTTTACTTCTGCATGTTCCACTAGCAATTGCTTATGGGAAGGAGTGGGGCCATTAACCAACTGTTTCCTGATCAATAGGAGAACAGACATCTGCCAAGTGCAGAAGCTGCTTCCTAATAAATGAAAACTGTTGGAGAGGCAGGCCAGAGGTCATTCCACAGCTACATCATTATGGTGATCACACATTCATCCCTGCCATGTGAATTTTAGTCAATATTAGAATATCATACTAAAGGGGGCGGGCAATCTGAAAAACTAATATTCCATCTTTCCGACTTCAATCAATGAAAAGTGGACTTGTTTTCTAGAAGAAGCTGACTTGTTTTCAGGTTCATCAGATGTTTAACAAATAAGAGGTGCTAAAGTAGGCATTTTAAATGCTGTTTATTATTAAGTAAACCAACTACCCAAGGGGCTAGTGGTACTGTGGGTTAAAAACCGCTGAGCAGATAAATGTGCTGACCGAAAGGTTGGCAGGTCAGATCCGGGGAGCAGGGTGAGCTCCTGCGGTTAGCCTCAGCTTCTGCCAATCAAGCAGTTCAAAAACATGCAACTGTGAGATCAATAGATACTGTTTCAGCAGGAAGGTAACAGCACTCCATGCAGTCATGCCAGCCACATGACTTTGGAGGTGTCTATGGACAATGCCGGCTCTTCAGCTTCAAAATGGAAATGAGCACCACCCCCTAGAGTCGGATATGACTAAACTTAATGTCAGGGGAAATCTTTACCTTAAATCAACTATGATTTACAAAAAAAAAATTGCCATATTGAGCCAGAGGTAAAACAATAGAAATAAAATGGCTATATTTGCTTCAAATTGGGGAATGTTACAGCATATGACTTTGTAAATATATGACTTAATGTCTTAAGTTGCTGCTGCCCCAAAGCTCAAGCAAATACAATCCTCTTAATATTCTGTTCTGTTAATTACACTCCTTATTCTAATGACTACATTGCAACCATATTATGCCCTGTAGACTGAGGTGATTGTAATTAACCAATCAAAAGGGGGTATGTAAATCCATAACACTTTCTGGATGCAGTACAAGATCTGGGAATCCATCCACATTTTTCATGGTGGTGGGCGAGCCAAAAAACTGTAGCCAGGTACTTGAGCCTCATTTTCTGGAATTCTAATATCCAAATTGTCATGGAAATGTGCTTCTACATAAGGGATTTGAATATTAATCAATAATGAAAACTTGAAAATAATACACAAGCTTCTACAGATCACTAAAACAGCATCCCCAACACCTGTTTTTAACTGCAGAGAAGTGCTTGCTTGCTCCCTCTGTGCTAACGGGAATGAAAACATGACAGAGAGCATTTTGATCTTTATAGAATCTACAAATGCAGCACTTCAGAAAGATGAATTTTCAAGTATGAAGGAATAAGAGGACTCATCCTATTAAAAAAACATTTGAATCGGCTCAGATTATGTACTCCATTTCCTACACCAAACCAGCAAAGAGATTTCAATATAAAGTGCCTTAACAAGAGAAATCAAAGGAGAAATGAAGTGTTACTTTGTAAATCCTTCCATCATCTCAACACAGGTATAAGGAGCCTTTAAGATGAGTAGCTCTAAATGAGAGGGGGTCTGTGCACATGCACTGCATGCTGCTTTGATGGACCACATCGTCTCTGTTTGGAAGCTAAGTAGACTGATGCCCTCTTAGTACTTGGACTAGATACCACCAAGAAACACCAAGGACCTCCAGGTAAGACTAAGGTTGGATCTACACTACCATATAGCCCAGATTATCAAAGCAGATTGTTTTTCGTGTCAGAAGCAACTTGAGAAACTGCAAGTCGCTTCTGGTGTGAGAATTGGCCGTCTGCAAGGACATTACCCAGAGGATGCCCAAATGATAGACGTTTTACCATCCTGTGGGAGGCTTTTCTCAAGTCCCCGCATGAGAAACTAGATCTTGAGAAGCTAGAGCTCAACAGTTGGGAACTTACCCCACTCCGCGGATTTGAATCGCCAACCTATCGGTCGACCAGTCCTACCAGCACAAGGGTTTAACCCATTGTGCCACCAGGGGCTTATTTGAAATGGATTATATGAATCTACACTGCTATATAATCCAGTTCAAAACAGATAATCTGGATTATATGTGGCAGTGCAGACTGAAATTCCAGAGAACCATTGCTGGGCTAGTTTCACCAATTGTTCCAATGAAGTACAAAGAACTCAGAAAGAATTGCCATCTTGTGTAAAAGAGATATTCCATAATACAAAATGTTTTTATTGAGCATTCTTCTCTAGTATGAAGCACCTCGTTAACAATAGGTTCTTTTTCACAAGGAACCCATTCTTTATTCTGTAAGATTCGGGCCAGGCCAGCTTTAAACCAAACAATGCCCTCTGGGTTACAAGCATAAAATCGGCCTCAGCAATAAAGTGATAAGATATAAACATTGACTGATGTGGCTTCCTCTTCTACTCCTTTTTCAAAATAAATGTATCCTCAAGGCACATCTACACTGTAGAATTAGTGCAGTTTGACAACACTTTAATTGCCATGACTCAATGCTATGAAATCCCAGGAGTTGTAATTTTACAAGGTCTTTAAACTTCTCTGCCAAAGAGTGCTGGTGCCTCACCAAGCTACAAATCCCGGGATTCCATAGCACGGAGCCATGTCAGTAAAAGTAGCATCACACTGCAGCAATTCTGTAGTGTATATGAATGCTAAGGGCACGTCTACATGGACAACAAAATCTGGGGCTGGCGCAAGTCATTGCTACTTCAGACCTGCCTTGGTGTTCACACAACTATGCTCCCAAATCACATCAGTGACATGAGCAAAGTCCTCACTGTGCAGTGGACCTGGACCCAGTTCGGTCCCACCAGATGATCACCCTTAGACTGGATCTACACTGTCCTATATCCCAGAATCGGATCCCAGATTATCTGCACTATTTGAACTGCACTATTTGTGTCTCTACTGCCATATAATCTGGGATAAGAAGATAATCTGGGATCAGATCCTAGGATATAGGGCAGTGTAGAAGGGGCCTTACTTTGTCAGTTTCTGCAGCAGTGTTCACAGAGCTGAAGAGTTTGCGGCCATCACTTGGAGTCCTCATCAAAGTAAACAAAGGCACTTATATGATTCAAAGAGGGGAGGAGGAAAAGGAAGGGGATGATCAAGCAGATTGTGGGGAAACTAGGATTGTGACACTAGCCCATGTAAACAATAGGGCTGTTTCTGAGCCAAAACTGGCCCTACGGGTAACACTATCCTGACTTTGTCTAATGTGAGGCATAGCCATGTTAAAACAGCTGTGCCCTGTGTTAGAGGCAAGATGGCTCTGTGCATCATATAAACGCCATGGAGCCAGTTTTTGCCTGCTTCAGATTACAGTGCCTGTGTGCATATGCCCTAAGTCAGGGATCCTAAAACATTTTAAACATAGAGCTGGTTCACGGTCCCTCAGACTGTTGGGGAGCCTGGGGAAAACATGAACGAATTACTGTGAACACTGCACATATCTTATTTGTAGTGCAAAACAAATGAAAGAACAATACAATATTTAAAATGAAGAACCATTTTAACCAACATAAACTTACCAATATTTCAATGGGATGTGTGGGCCTTTTACAAGCCTGAAACTTGGAATATATTCACAATGACCCATTATAAACATGTCTGGATTGGATCCCTGTATCTGATGCTTCTAGGGAGAGATTAACAGACATGGACCTAAATCTATGGTTAGTTTTGACTAGAGTAGGCTAGAGTTAATTGGATTTATCTATGTCCTGCGCCACCATGCAACATGTGGTTCAATGGGGCCACACTAGATGAAACTACCCGGCAGGATTCCAGCTGTGATTTCTTCATGAGCCATTATTATTATTATTTCGGACATTTGTTTCCCGACCTATCTTGTCCTCCACAGAGGGACTCAGGGCAGCTAACAACCTGCACACTACGGTGCCCACAACCAAAAGCATAAATATACAATTTACACAAAAATATATAAAAACAGTATAAAAACAATCAAATAGTCAAACAGTCCCCGATTTACATTATCATCCTAAAAGCAGTCCATCAAGTCCATTAAAACTGTTGCTTTACCAGTAGGTCAGCCTAGTCTGCAAAGGCCTGATCCCATAGCCAGGATTTCACTTGTTTCCGAAAGGTCAGGAGAGATGGAGCAGATCTAATTTCGCTTGGGAGGGCCAAGAGGCCACCACAGGAAAGGCCCTGTCCCTTGTCCCCACCAAACACGATTGCGATAATGGGGGTACAATGAGCAGGGCCTCCCCGGATGATCTTAGGGTCCTAGGTGGATCTTAGCAAGAGATAAGTTCGGACAAGTAAACTGAGCCAGAACCGTTCAGGGCTTTATAGGCCAAAGCCAGCCATGGTAAAATTTGATATGAAGTACATTGAAAAATACTCAGAATATCATGCTACAACCTTATTGCTTATTGACAGAACATACCATTAAAGGTGTTTTGCCATCCTTATCTCTTATATTAACATCAGCTCCAGCATCTAGGAAAAGTCTGGCCACATCTGTTTTTCCTGTTAATGCACACAGCCTCATCAGTGGAGTCCACTCCAAACCTGTATCTTTAGGATCCACCTGTTAGAGAAAGAAGGTCTTCTGTAACATGAAATATAATATGAGATTAAAGCTCCAATATTTATGTTTGTCGTGGAACAATGGCTTAAATATTATCTTCAAATGCTGTTTTACCTATTTGCTTCAATTCATTTATTTTTAATTGTTATTTACAGAGTGCAGCCTTCTAGGCCTCAACACCCTTCTTTCTATATAATAAGGTATTTCATTGTCTTTCCTCTATTATAAGCCACTTAATTTTTCCCACAAACTTCTCTTAGTACTTGACAATGACACTGTCTTTTGCTACCAGGAAAGCTTTTCCAGTTTATAGATTTGCTGTCCTTTGCTCACATTTGCTTTTTCACCTTGATCTTCTCCATTTTGCTTTGAATGGCTATCTCTCAGCAAGAAAGGTGTCACTGCTGTTATCTGTCCAATGCACAGCATGGAATTGATCAATGTTTAGTAGCAACAACAGCCGCAATTATATTACTGGTCAAAAAATGCCTGTCGATGGCACATTTCTAACTTGTATTTGACATATTTTCCTTCTATCTTTGCAGATGTTGTTTGTATATAATTTTAAATTGGCTGTTTTGCATTCTGTGAAATATTGCTATTGTAATAAAATACAACATCAAAAATGTTAATACTCGTATTTACTTGAGTCTAACATGCCACTGAATCTAATGTGCACCCTAATTTTGGGAATTTTGGGAAATCAATTTTGAAAACCCTGAAAACCATAAAGTATTTACTATATTATGCAAATCTAATTAGCACTTTAATTTTGGGAAGGTACTTTAGTCAAAAAAGGTGAGCATTAGAATTAAGTAAATACGGTAATGGGGAGTGATTTTCCAATATTATCATTGTTACAAGTCTTCATCTCTTATTTCTTTAACACATATTACATTATATATTGAGGATTCTAACAATTTGGTTGTATCTTCTTCTATCTTCTCACATTGCCTCCTGGTCTTCATATGTCCTTTTCCAGTTCTTCTTCAATGGCAATTAAACTGATTTTTTATAGCAGATTATTCCAAATTAAAACTTTTCTTAAATTATGTATTATTAATATATACAAAGAAACTTCTACTATTTTCATTTAGATTTGTTAGTAGGTTAGTGTTTTTATCATTTTATCATTATCATGCTGTCTTTTTTCTTTATTTACATCAAATATATTTTCTATATATAACTCTTGGGGTCAAAAGGTCTTCTGGTTTAACCATATGATAATATTCTCAAAGTATATTTTAAGAACTTTTTCTGATAGCCAGATCTCTCAAACTTCTCTTTCATTATTTATTTATTTATCTCATTTCTATACTGCTTTTCTCATCCCTAGGGGATGAGAACATAATAAACATAATAAATGGCAAAGATTCAATGCCTCACATCCATATAAAAAAAACATGACATATAACCATAAATTAAATCATTAAAAACTATACAAACAATTAGCATAACCATAAAACATTACAACATCACGCTTTAAAACATTTAAACATTGCATCAATCCCATGGTTTCTTTTAGCTGGTTGTGTATTGGTGTAATTTGTCGAATGCCTGCTTACACAGCCAAGTTTTGAGCTGTTTCCTGAATGCCAGGAGGGAGGGGGCTGATCTAATCTTGCTGTGGAGGGAGTTCCACAGGCAAGGCGCCACCACTGAGAAGGCCCTGTCTCTTGTCCCCACCAATCACACCTGCAAAGGAGGCAGGAACGAGAGCAGGACCTCCGCTGTCATGCTAGCTGTTTGTCAATTTTTTTAAAAAAGTGTGATACCAAAAAAGTAGATAAAGTATGTAAAAAAGTCTGTTAAAAGTACGTATAATTAGTGACATTCCTAGATTTTAAAAAGTAATGGAACAAAGGAAGGGCAAAGCTGCTTTCAAAGATAGGCACATCTTCTCATAGGTACACAATGTTAGAGGGGGGGATGGAAAAACAGTCTTTAACAACACATAAAAAACATTTTTTTGTTTTGTCATTTGCTTTAATCCCATGTGTAATCAACTATTGTGGCCAACAATAACATTATCTTTGGAAATGAACATTTGCCTTCCATGCCTTCCCTCCCCAGAAGGAACTGCAGTATTATCATAGAAAACAAAGCATACCCTAATCCTAGTCTTCTTCCTTTTTTAAAAAAATCCAGTCCTATTTATTCACAATTTATCTAAGCAGAATTTGGAGATTTATTTCCTACAAGCGACTTTGAATCAAAAATAAAATTATAATGGTTGCACAGGAAGGTTCCAATAAACAAAACTATGCTATAAATTTGCACAGGTATGTTATAAAAATCTCATATAAAAGAAACATATTATTCTAGTAAAGCATTCTTTGGCAAAGAAAACCCTGTGAAATTAATGGGGTTGGCATAAATCAACAGGTGGTTTGCATGTGCATACACACTGTTATTTTGAATTTACAACATAATCTTATACATGTCTACTGAAAAAAAGTTAAGTCTCTTCAAATGCTATGGGGCTTCTTCCCAGATACAGTTATATAGGAATATGGTCTAAGGCAGTGGTTCTCAACTTGGGGTCTCCAGATGTTTTTGGCCTTCAACTCCCAAAAATCCTAACAGCTGGTAAACTGGCTGGAATTTCTGAGAGTTGTAGGCCAAAACACCTGGGGACCCACAGGTTGAGAACCACTGGTCTAAGGACCTCATCACACTAGAGCATGGATCCACTTTAAATCCAGTTTCTGCCTTCTGCAGCATTTTGGAGCTTTAGTTTAGGGAGGGGCCTTTAAACTGTTCAGCCAGACAGGTTTTGGATTTCACTAAACTACAAGGTAGAAACTGGATTTAAAGTGGATCCATGCTCTAGTGCAATGAGGCAGCTAGGTCCACTAAAAGCCATGGAAACAGACAAAACTAACGAATCAAGATCTCCCTGCTTTGTGGGAATATGCAACAGCAGCCTATTCATTCTTATTCAGATGCTAGATCTATGAGGCTTGCTCCCAAATAAGTAATGTATGGGAATTCATTCTTTGATATGGTCAACTACTGAAATGATGTAATTAGGATTTGGGGGGGGGGGGGGTATTGTGGCTTTTTTAAAAGGAAGCAACTTGGTGAGATTTCTCAAAAAAAGAGAAAATACAAAAGTGTTAAAATAAAGGATAACTCTTCACACAGTGYCTTTTAAGCTTCCCCAAAGACACTACTGAGGCTAAAGGGACATTCATGAAAAGYCTGGTATTTGACTGGAAAATACCATAGGGGAAAAGGGAATTGAGTAAAATCAGAGAAAAGCTCCTTGTGGAAATGTGGAGGTGCACAAAGAGTATTTATTTTATACTAGCCGTCTCCTGCCACACGTTGCTGTGGCCCAGTCTATGTATGTGTATTTTGTGTGCGTGTGGTTTTGCGCATGCGTTGTAATGTAATTTTTGTTTTTTGGCTTTTTCAGTCCCTCCTGCTGTGTTTTTCAGTGTTTTATGAGTGACGGTCACTCGTTGGCCTGATAGGTGTTTTGTGTTCAAATTTGGTGTCAATTTCCCCAGTGGTTTTTGAGTTCTGTTAATCCCACAAACGAACATTACATTTTATTTATATAGATTTATTATATTTATTATACAGTATTATTATTTATTAAAATATTCACATCTTGCTCTATGCCAGAAATTTCAGAGGATAAGCAGATACTGTAGTATAGATTCAACGCAATTTAGAATAATTTAGATTTAAAACTATGAATAATAATGTAAACAGCTTAAACATACATAAAGCATTTTAACAATAAAAATTAAATTTGAGTGTTTTAAAGCCCTGACAGATCTGGGCAAAATCGTAGACCAGAAAGGCTTTAATTATGTACTGTGGAAAAGAAGATGCTGTTGGCAACAACTGACCAAGAAAGGAAGTGCATTCCAGATCTGGGGCACCACCTTACACAAGGTCCTCTCCTATGCTCTCAACACTATATATTGCTCTCACTAGTGGCACACAGTTATCACAGTTATTTTTTTACCAAAAAGCTATGAAATTATGTCCACTGTCAGCTAAGAATTATATTGCTATTCTACCCATTGCTCTTTGTAACAAACATAGTGGCATATCCTGAGTTTCCAAAACATCTTGTTCCCTAGTACCACTGCCCTTCCAAACACTGAAGATGCAGTGGTAAATTGAACTTATTGTCGAAGGCTTTCATGGCCGGAATTACTGGGTTGTTGTAGGTTTTTTCGGGCTATATGGCCATGTTCTGGAGGCATTCTCTCCTGACATTTCACCTGCATCTATGGCAAGCATCCTCAGAGGTAGTGAGGTCTGTTGGAACTAGGAAAAGGGTTTTATATATCTGTGGAATGACCAGGGTGGGACAAAGGACTCTTGTCTGCTGGAGCTAGGTGTGAATGTTTCAACTGACCACCTTGATTAGCATTTGATTGCCTGGCAGTGCCTGGGGCAATCTTTTATTTGAGAGGTGATTAGATGTCCCAGATAGTTTCCTCTCTGTTCTTTTGCTGTTGTGATTTTAGAGTTTTTTAATACTGGTAGCCAGATTTTGTTTATTTTCATGGTTTCCTCCTTTCTGTTGAAATTGTCCACATGCTTGTGGATTTCAATGGTTTCTCTGTGTAGTCTGACATGGTGGCTGTTAGAGTTATGGCAAGTAGAGAGGATACTTGCCATAGATGCAGGTGAAACATCAGGAGAGAATGCCTCTAGAACATGGCCATATAGCCCCAAAAAACCTACAACAACCCGGTAAATTGAATTGCTGGTGCTGATGTAAACTTGTCTATATGTTCATTTTTTTAGTGTTGTGTCTCCTATTTTTGGGAGGACCACCTCCAAAATCAAGTCAAAATTGGACTGTCCACCTAAAGGACTTTAAGAAATTATGTATCATTACATAGATATATTCTATAATTGCACCACACTAACTTTTTTATTTAAAGGGGGTCTCCCATTTCAATTCTACTAGTTCTCGAATACGTCTTGCAAAGGAATCTCTTCCCCTTTTGGAGCAGATACCTTCAGTACTGAAGTTATTCTGTTTCTTCATTTCTGTCTCATTATCCAATTGTCTTATGTTTTCCTTGGTATGCAATCCTAAAGTCTGAACTACTCTTTTAAGGAGCTCCACTTGGAACAGCCTATTTGCTAAGCCTTCCTGATCTTCATCATCCCCAAATGTGTTTTCTCCCTCACTATCACTTTCAAAATGTTGATCTGGTTCATTAATGATTACATTATCTTCCATGTCTGATTCTTTATCTGAACCATCATTTTCTATCTACCTAATTGTGCACTTTCCTCATGCACTGCACATTTTTTGTTTTTTCCTTATGTCATTGACTTTCCCCTTTCTTTCTTGTGATTCCTCTACTGCATATTTTTGTTGGCTGTCAATTCCAATTGCATTTCTGAATTTTTTAAAAATTGATTTGTGTTAAATTTATTCTGCCTGGATCATTATGTTGAATCATGTTAATTAAATTCATTTGCATAACCCAATTCATTAAGTTGTAATCAAGTGTATTAAAGGAATTTCATGAACTTCCAATCCACTAAGTTGATTGTCATTCCTTTAGTTTAAAAACTGAATTCAATTCATTTTTCACAGATTGACTTCCGGCTGTTCAAGAAAGGAAGAGTCAACAATTGTAATGAAAATAATTTAGATTCTTGCTTCATCAGCTGGCATGAGGGGAATAACTCCCAAGTAGAGGAGTTGTTTATTTTTGTCATTCGGAGCTTCAACATAACAAAGTGCCACTTATTCTCCTCCCACCAGAGTAGTCAATAGTATCAAAAACCTTTGAGAGATCCAGGACAAGAAACAACACAAACACAGTTTTTTAACATGAACAGACCATCCATCAAAGCAACCAAGACTGGAAATGCTATTGTTGTTATTGTGACCCTATGCTGAATATATCGGGGTGGGGTGGGGATGATTTCTTCAAAGAGGGATTGCCTTTGCCTTCCTCTAAAGATGAGAGTGTGGTTGGATCTACATTGCCCTATATCCCAGGATCTTATCCCAGATTATACACTTATCCCAGATTATATGACAGTGCAGACACATATAATATAGTTCAAAGCAGATAATCTAATATCAGGTCTACCCTGACATTAAGTCTAGTCGTGTCTAACTCTAGGGGATGGTGCTCATCTCCATTTCTAAGTTGAAGAGCCAGCGTTGTCCATATACACCTCCAAGGTCATGTGGCCAGCATGACTGCATGGAGTACCATTACCTTCCCCCAGAAGCGGTACCTATTGATTTACTCACATTTGCATGTTTTCCAACTACTAGGTTGGCAGGAGCTGGGCCTAACAGCTGGAGCTCACACCACTCCCCGGATTTGAACCACCAACCTTTCCGTCAGCAAGTTCAACAGTTCAGTGGTTTAATGTGCTATGCCACCAGGGGGGCCTGGGATATAGGGCTGACAGGGTGCTCTAGCGTGGGATAGTCCATGAGGTCAAGAAGAGTTGGAAGTGACTGAATGAATGAACAACAACAACAAAATATCCAGTTTGTGACTCTCGCCCAAGGACACACAGCAAGTTTCCACAGCCGAGTGGAAATTTTAATTCTGGTCTCCTGACTCCAAATATGCAAACCAGCATGCCATGCTTACCTAGGCCTTAAATGAAATGGATCCAGATAATGTATATCAAGCATATCTGATTGCAACAAGGAGCAGAAGATAGGAAAGTCCTGCTGTAACATTTATGCACCTTCTGGAGTAAAACGAGAGTCTTTTTCTCCACTATCTATTTGTTTAATCTTTATTATTTTACCAGTACTAAGAACAGAGATGGACATAAAAAGAGATAATGAAGAAGAAAATGTATCCAGTGAAATTCTGCAGGAAACACTTATATAAATCAGTAAAAATAAAAGTGATGCAAAAACTTCCAAAGACATGAAATACATTTTCTACATAACTCTGCATATATGCTGGTCTCCTTGGGTTACATAAATAAGCCTCATACCTCACAACCATCCTGGATCATCCACACAATAACATCGCAGTGCCCTCCATCTGCAGCCCAGTGCATTGCTGTGCATCCTCCAAGGTCTCTAGCCTGCCAGGAAGCTCCTTTGGATCTTAGATACTGAGCAATGTCCGTATGCCCAGCAAAACACGCTATCATTAAACTGAAATAGCAAATAATATATCAAAATAAAAACAAAAGCAAATTAGTTAGAAGCAATGGAGTGGTGTTATATCAAAGGAGAAAGGTAGTCAGAACCTTTCAAGGGATATAATGCAAAGTCTGATCACAAAAATATCAATAAGGCTTCAGGTATAACCTTAATCCAAGATTATGTCCTAATCACAAAAGCAAAAGAGGAAGACATTGAAAAAAATTACACTAGAGTCCAAGAGGAAGTACTTTTTAAGAGTTTGGCCTAAGATCAAGAAATGAATCAGGACAATGACTGAATTTTTGAAGCCAACAGTTTATTTATCACAAACACATTATTTAGGTAACTATAAGTCAAAGATGGTCATTAACAACAACCATTAAACATATGAAATTAAAAACCATGTCTGCAAAAAAATAGTCATTGCTCTCATTCTAAGAAATAAATTTGGAGAGCATTTTACAAGTAACTTTGATGATATGCAAGTCAACCTATATCATCGGGGATAACTGAATATTTTGAGACTAATTCATTTTTATGCTTTCGTAGAGAAGAGAACACCAGACTTAAGCTAAGGACACAGTACATTGAGTCCCCTTCAAGGGAGATAAAGCAGGGTATAAATACATATAATAATAATAATAATAATAATAATAATAATAATAATGACTTCCAATGAAAGATATTTAAGATTTTTTACTTGCAACGTTCAACCAACATTATATACTCGGGAAACTTTAGCAGAACTCATAAAACATCTATAAAACAGGCAATTCCTTGTGTTAGGGATGCAATCCTTTAAGCAAACACCTAAATTCAAAGTACACAATATTTTAAAATATTGTTATGAAAATCTTATCTGGCTCATGGGCTAAGTTATAAGTAATTAGAATTGTTGTCTTTTTCCTTTCTATTAAACTATTTATTGCTGCTGCTTATGTTTTTATTATTGTCTTGCTGATTTTTAAACTGACTTTCTATTGATGCAGTTTCACACTACACTGTTTTTAATTTAATTGTGTAGGACATTAGGGACTTCTGACAAATTTTGGCTAAATGAAAGAGAACAAAGCTGGTTAAGAATAAGGGGTATTTTTAAGAGGTATGAAATGTGATACTATCCATGTTAAACCCATTAAACACACATTTTATATGGATACTAAAATGATCAGGAGCTATGGGGTGAGTAATTAGAAGGGAGCAATTACAAGCTACAAGAAGAAGTGAGAAAAAACTAGATATTGTTCAGGAAAGTCCCCAAATTATGAAAAAGATAGGTTCTGTAGACAGAACAGGTACATTTTTAGATGTAACTCCAACTATATATAAATACACACACACACATAGATACATATAAGCTTTTCACAGTATAAGGAAGAGTTAACATTTCTGTGGTCAGGCCCGTAGCCAGGAGTTTGATTCTGGGAGGGGGGGCTGAGTTTGATTCGGGGAGGGGGCCTGTGTTTGGTTCTGGGGGGGCTGAGTTTGGTTCAGGGGGGAGGGCTTAGGATCTACCCTAGCAAATCTTTTGTATCATTATCCCAATACCCCTATGCATATAGGATATATTGAGCATGGTGATCAGATCATGATATGAATAAACATAAAAGTTTAAATAATGTACCAGCAAGGCCTTCTTGCAGACCACCCTGAGAATTTCGGCGGGGGCTGAAGCCCCTCAAGCCCCCTCCCCCCCAGCTACGGGCCTGTCTGTGGTGTTTGTTTTGCTATCTGTGCCCCTGTTCAGAAGATTTCACCTCACTATCTGCAGTAAACAAATTTTGAAAAATGTAATTTTTGTGGAAATTGGTGATAAAGCTTCAGCTGAGACATCTCTTTCAGGAGTTAATTTCCCAGGGGTAGTTTGTATATAGAGCCAACACATCAACAGAGGGTGCCATAGCCATCACGCTCCAAACTGTTCTGATCCATCTGGAACAACGAGGGAAATATATAAGGATGCTTTTTGCAAACTTTAGTTCTGTGTTCAATACACTCCTCCCACATAGACTCGTGTCTAAACTCATAGATCTCGGATTGTCTGGACATTCCCAGAAAGTTAGATTAGATAATCATCATTTCTCTTCAGCTCTTACTCTCAACACAGGGACACCACAGGACTGTGTGTTGAGTCCTCTGCTTTTCATCTTGTACACATATGACTGTACCCCATCCACCATAACAATATCATTACTACATTTGCAGATGACACAATAGTAGTGGGGTTTATTTCTGAAGGGGATGAATCTGCCTATCAAGATGAGGTGGATTGGTTGCTCTCATGGTGCAGGGACAATCAAAAAGACCAAGGAGTTTATAGTGGACTACTGAAAGAAAACACCAGAAATCCAGCCCTTGGTCATAAATGGAGACCAAATGGAGCGGGTGGCCAGTTTTAAGTTCCTGGGTGTCACTGTTAAGGAGGATTTAACCTGGGGCACCCATAATAAAGTGTTGGTGAAGAAGGCCCAGCAGAGACTGTATTACCTGAGACTTCTAAGAAACCAAAAATATAATTGTTTATAGTGGCCTCTTGCTCTTGTACTTCAGGGAATCCTTTCTCTGTATTACTTCTAAGAAACCAACAGCTGGTAACATTCAACTGCTGTGCTATAGAGAGTGCCCTAACCTACTTCATCAGTGTGTGGTTTGGTAACTGCACAGCAACAGATAGGAAAACACTCCAAAGGGTCACCACTTCTGCACAGAGAATCATTGGTTGCCCTTTCTCCCCCTTGTAAGGACTTTATAGGTCCCACTACCTTAAGAAAGCTCTGCACATTCTTGGGGATCAATTTCACCCAGCATATTCTTTTTTTTTAATTATTACCATCTGGAAGATGGTACAGAGTGACAAAGGCAAGGAAAAACAGACTGAGAGACAGCTTTTATCCTAGAGCTGTAACTGTACGGAACTCCATGACTTCACATTGATGTGGCATTGGGGGCTGTGTGGTGGGGTGGGAGTATGGAGGAATGAGTGTGTTGTTTTGCGATGTGTGCTGGGGAAAGCTTTTAATATTGTTGTACAATGTACAATGAGAATAAAGTTATTCTATTCTCTCACTTACTCCTGTCTCACCCCCTTCTTAACTATGAGTAGTTTGTAAGTTGGGTATTTGTAACTCCGGGAACTACCTGTACTGGATATGGAAGTATTCCATTGGATCTTGGACTCAGTTCCCTATATTCTCAGATGCGACAAAACACTCCATTAATTACCTGTCCTTTCCACTGGAATTCTTCATGTTTACATCTGCTCCATTTTCTACTAAAACTTGGGCAAGTCTAGATGTAAAACATTTACATCATATTATTTCCAATACATATTCAAACCATTTACAAGTTCACATAACATACTGGAATAATTTACAAATTAACAACCTGTCTTACTGCTCAAGGTGATCAATGGTTTCAAATACTACATAAATCCTTAGTTCAGTTTACGGCTTGGACAATAACGAACTAGATCAGTGGTTCTCAGGTCAATAATAAAATCCTCAATAGTCAAACCCCCAAATGTGGAGGAACAATTGTATAGTATATTTCATAGATATGCAACATAAAAGTGGTGATCCTCTCTTAGCACCTGAAGGTAGAATATATATATTTGGTAGACCCACTCGGCCCACACAAAATGTTCTGCTGTTTAATCTCTCTATTATTCACTAATTAGCTATTGATTGAAATTTCAGATCCTGCTAAAAATCATGACGCGATTGGCAAGAATAATCAGTTATTGTGATCTGGACAGAGAAATGAAGTATAAAAGCAAATTTATCAAAGGAGGTTTGCAATAATACTACCTTGAATAGCCTTTCTGTGAAGCAACCATCAAAGCTGTATTTCCTAATTTATTCAGTGTGTCTACCACCATTCGCCTTTCAAAAAAGTGAAAGAATAATTATTGCTCCACCATTTCTATCAAAACTATAGGTCTTGCCTCAATGCATTTCACAAGAGTATCTCAGTGAAATTTAAGGAACATATTCTAAATCATACATTAGGGGAAGCATTGTCTATGCTATACATAACAAAAAGTATAAAAGCATATTAAAGGTTGTGATCTACTGATTCTATATACTATTATATCCTATTAAGAATGGTAGAATGTCCTTCAAATGGCTGTAGTTGTAGTTCCACTTTTTTCAGTCTGTCCTATGAGACATTAACTTAGAAGAAAGGCTAGATATTAAACAAAGAAACAAACATCAATGGAAGAGTCCTGAAGTAAGTTGTCTGAGAGCAGAAAGGGTCATATGCTGATGTAGCTTTAGAAGCATTTTTGGTAGATCAATTTCAGGAAAATTGAGCTTGCCGGATGATATTTCAATATAGCTAACAGTACTAATAGTGTAAGCACTTTGGACTGGCACCACTGCAAATGTGTGGTCTGCAGTGACCAAAAAACCTTTATGAGGCATTGGCCAGTAAACCCCTGCAACTAGAGTCCCGATGCTAGTGGATAAATATGGATAAATATGGATTTTTGGATAAATATGGATTTTTTTTCACATCATACTTTGGCTGGTTTTCTTAAAAAAAAAAAAAAAACATTCCCAGAGCTCAGATCAGTATACAGTGAGTCAGATCATAGAAGTACTAGAGATGCTAGATACGAATTGTATCCTAGAACTAGGAAATCTTCTTGGCAGCCAAGAGAACGCATACTCTGAGTCATAGTTACACATCCACCACATCCACAAGGACAAATGCCCATTTTTTCATTCATGAACACTTAATGCAACAAAATACCAACATAACAACACTTTAACACATAATATGGAACTGCTCTGGAATAGGCTATTAAATAAAGCCATGATGTGTAACAAGTAAGAAAGCAGTGCTGCAACAATCTTTAGGGTCTTTTAAATCCTCTCCCCTCCCATGTGGTTATGCTTCTTCTTCCCTGTCCCTTTCAATCTCTATCCCACATATTGATTCCCCCATGAGCTTCTAGTGTCAGTGAGAAGCTTCTGACAGTGCCAGTCATCCTGCTATTCTATTTGGCTTCTTCCCTGCCCACTCCATATCTCCCATGTCCAACACAGCACTTGTTTAAACAGCAAAGATTTATACACTGTCAGCCACGATCCCTGACAGCCTTAGGTGCCAAGCATTTAGCACGGCATAGATCCCCATGCTATTACCATGCAAGAGAGATTGCCACTCCTCTTTTTCAAGTCTACCAGAATGTTGTGAAAAGCTATTTCCAATCATTGGGTACCTCCTTGTAATAGCTTTTTGCAGTGATGCAACTCTGAAAAGGAATTGTCAACTACAATCAAGATGGCATGCCATTTGGCCATGGAAAGGCTGAATCCAGATCAATATTATGAAAACATATGCAACACTGATTTGTGTACTAGTACAGTAACTCAGAATTTGAAATTAGTCTCATTGGTTTTATCATGAAATATGAAGTTCAATATTTAGGTGACTAGGAAAGATACTCTTTGCGGCATGGCACAATTCATAATGCAATTTTCATTCTTATCTTTTTCATTATTATATTGTATGAAGGCTTTAAAAATGAATCATTTCCCACCTTCTCTGAAGAATATGAAGGACTTCATCTACATCATCCCTGCTTACAGCACGGTGGAGCTGGTCTCCACTCATTGGCTCGCCTTAAATAAAGAAAGCAAGCGAGTATTTGTAAAGCAGGCTAGACAAGCATGTTCACTTGATGTTGTGCCAGATATTAAAACACTGCAGAATAACTCATTAACTTTCACATTTATCTATTCAGCAATATCCAAAAAGAAACAAAAGATCCTGTATTACTTTACAGATACCCAAACTATTTGAAGGTATCTTTGAAACCCATTTCTCATATCAGAAAATATAAAATTATGTATATCTTTTCTAAACTTTGAGAACATTTTTCCTAAAAACAATAAATAATCACAATAAACCATAGTTTCTAAAATGTTGTGTGCATCACTAAGCTTATATACTGCATTAAAACCCAAGGTATCTGGTAGGATATCCTCAGTTCAAACTGTGACTCACCCACAATCCCACAAGGTAGCCTTGGTTTTAGACAACCCATTAGTTTTTCTGCCTCTTCACTATTTGCAATAGTGGGAGTAGCAACAACATCAAGGTTGTATGAATAATATATATGGAAGTGCAGAAAACTAAAAAGACTGGTTGTATGCTTTAATATTTTGATTGTCTTTTATTAAGTCGCTATGCTGCACCATCCTAGTAAGAATGTGCCATATTTCTTCAATTTTAAGAAGCTATCGATTGTAAGATGCATACAAATTTCATTACCACCAACAGAAAAAGCAATTTTCTGCATGAAAATTGCACATGGTTGATTTGTACAGAAAACTGCATTTCTGTACATAAATTAATATTTCTGTGGTGAAATATTGTTTTCAATGCAGAAAATGCAGTTTTTCACAGAGTAAGTGATATTTGTCTTTAATGTTCTAATGTAGCACAAATACTTTTAAAACCATACTACATATTTTTGACATTAATATTGAAATCTGAAATATATACAGAAAGTACTTATTTATATATTTTAAAAGCACCCGTGATTCTAACATGCTCCTCATTTTTGGTGATGTTTCTATGGGGATGGGAATGAGAAGAGTACATCTTAGAATTGAAGAAATATCATAATTCTTCAGGAAGTTGCTTCGCATTGGCAGCAATTTTCTTCCCACTATGAAAAAACCTTCAAAAACTGCACAGTTTCCAAAGACTATTCACAATTCAAGACTTACTCTATGGAAAAAAAACTGCATTTTCTGCATGGAAAACAATATTTCACCACAAAAACATTAATTCATGCACAGGAATGCAATTTTCTGTGCAAATCAACCATGTACAATTTTCATGCAGAAGAAATACCCAATTACAGCTTTTGTTTTGAATGGCAAACAGCTCCCCCCCCTAGAATTAATATTTATGCTGATGTAATATTTTTAATGCAGAAAACATTTTTTGCACAAAACAATCACGTGAGAATTCTGCACAGAATAAGTTCCAAACTGCAGAGATGCTCATCATTCCATGATTCCTCTCATCGGACTTCTCAATGCTTGAAAAACATGTTTTCCATCCATTTTCCGATGTTTTTCATGTTCTTTTCATCCCTACTTTCTGTACGGGTATGCTAATCCCACAAAAAATGTCTGTTTTTGTAAGAGTACACAACAATGGGGACAGGGGGGTTGTAGGAATAGAACGTTTAATTATATTAAAATGAAATAATTAAAGGAATAAAGGCTACAATAAATCAATGAATTTCAACCACATATATTTTGTTATCTCTCTGCAATTATATTTGCAAAGATCCACACAAAATAAACACTTTTTGATGAGCAGCTTAAGCGAGGCTGACAAAACTACTCATTGAAATTGTGTCCACACAACAACTACAACTGCTGAATATACAAGGGAAATGTGGACAGGTGAAGGTCAGGCTTTTTATTTCTAAAATAAATCCTTAATGTTTATAAAGGAACCATTTGGTTGCAGATGTTCAGGGCAATAAGAAGTTTATTTATGGAACTGAAGACTCTATTGAAAGCTATGAATAAATGATGAACTCATTGGTGAAGACATTCTCCAATTAACAAGCAGCAGCTGTTTGTCTTTCTATTTTCAGGACCAATTGATTAAAATTGCACGCCTCATTTAAAAAGGACTTTCTTGTATTTTACCTGAGGAAAAAAAAAGAGGCATCACACCCTGTTTCATAGTACTTTCCTTTCTGATTTATGAAGTCTCTTTTCGGTTGAATGCAAATTTCAAAACCAAAAGAGGCATTTTGTTTTAATGTGCATATTCTTAGCCTGCACATTAAAACAATGAAGCTATGAAATATGAATATGAATAAAGTAGAATATTTACATATAATAAAGCTGTATGTTGTGCAGGAAAAAACTGGCCTTATAATTATTCAGGCTTCTTTGAAGTTCTCTGTGCTGTTTAGACAACAATCATGGGAAATGAAATGCTAAAGTAAACCATGATCATATCCAACACTTAACCCCTCACATTTAAACAAAAATTTGAATTCAAGAATGTTAATCTTGAACTATGAGAGTATATTATATCAAGGTTTTTGCATTGCAATACTAAGTAATGTATACAACTAAATACTAAGCCATGCAATAGGATCCAGATATATTTTCTTTCAATTAAACCTTTACGAAAGCTAGCCAAAACTGTCATGGGGTGAACCTTCTTAAACTTAAACCCTCTGTTGCCATGAATTTCAGAAGCAATACTTGCAGTGCTGAAATATTTACAGGAAATTCCAATTTATTTATTTTCACAAGATTCTTGGTAATGCAAATCACATTCAAAGCAATCGTACTCATATATGGGTCACAATAAAATTCTTTGACATTAATCAATACAAATTACAGTCTGACACAATTTGTACTTCCCACATTCCATGGCTTTTTACTCTTTAGATTCACCTAGTATGCATGATTCATATTTTCATGTCTTGGGGTACAACCTGTTCTGAAACACTGTCAGGATATTTTATTTTTCATCAGGCAACTTTCTGTGACACCTAGCTTGACACGAACCACAATTGTGTTCTGTACATCCCATGACAATTTGTTACTTTGCACCAAGGCAGACAACTGAGGCTGGATCTACACTGCCCTATATCTCAGGATCTGATCCCAAATTATCTGCTTTGAATTGGATTATATGAATCTACACTGCCAGATAATCTGGGATCAGATAATCTGGGATCAGATCCTGGAATATAGGGCAAGATCCAGCCTGAGCCATCTAAAAAATCCCAAACATACTAACTCAAAGTGTGGGGTGTTGACAAAGCTTCAAGGAAGCTCCACGGCATTCCCCAACTTTCCCTAAATTGATTAAGTATTTGTGCCCAATTTTGGAAGCAAGAAGATCCCATGTATAATGCAAACACCATAGAGATGTTTCTTTTAAGTGCTTGAAAAACTTTTAAGTTGCCATGTAGTTCTGCCCTAGATTTTATGACTGACTGCAGGCAATAAAGTATCTGGGTAAGCCTGGAGACTGACTTCTATGCTGACGTAAGGGGACAGAAAACAAGGCTAACCATAGCACAGCAAAACATTTTCATGGACTCAACTCTTGGATAATAAACACTATCTAGATGCCTAGCAGTTTATTAAAAAGCTATAGAACTTGATGTGGCTGATGAGACTTCTTGCCCTATTTTCTATTTTGAGCAGCCATCTGAATAATGTGAAGCTGACATCAAAAAAGCTAGCATACATTTTAAGACAAAGATATTTTTCTTTAGAGAATAGTGAGGAATATCAAATGCAAAGGAAGTCTAAAATGCAGCCCTAACAAGATACCGTATAAATAATGCCTACATTGGGAGCAGTCCTGCAGTTTAAATGTCTTGTTATGTACTTCGACTTTCCATTTAACACCTACTATTATTCTGTGCATACCTTTTGACATTATTAATATTTATCTATTAAAATACATTGTAAACCTACTTTTTGTGGTTACACAAACAGGTGAACTGTAAGCAGAGACTCCTGCAGGGTCTGTGACTTTAAGCCGAAACCTGTAGGTTGTTCTAGGTTCAAGACCTTCCACAACATGCTGTCGAGCATATCCACTTCAAAAAGATAAAAAAAGAGGAATGTAAGATCTTTCCCAACTTATTTTTAAAACCATTCTCAAATGTTTAGGACCACTATGCATTGTCTTGTCAAAGGCTTTCATGGCTGGAATCACTGGGTTGCTGTGAGTTTTCCGGGCTGTATGGCCATGTTCCAGAAGCATTCTCTCCTGACGTTTCACCCACATCTATGGCAGGCAGACTTCACAAGTTGAGAGGAGGCCTGCCATAGATGTGGGCGAAACGTCAGGAGAGAATGCTTCTGGAACATGGCCACACAGCCCGGAAAACTCACAGCGACCCACTATGCATTTTTAAAGTTAATTCTCTCAGACAATTAATAACAACAGAATAATAACAGCATTTACCATCAACCATATATGTGTTACTGTGAAACTATGTGCCCCTATTGCACAACAAATCAAATATTTTTATGTGACTCCTGCAAAACAGATGCACAACAAACCTCATGCTTACATAAATACATAAGGTCCAAAAGAGTCAGCTGACTTCAAAATCAGGAGAGATCATTTACTGAAGCATCATCAACTACACAGTTTGAACACCCTTTTCAAGTGTAAAAAGGCAGACCTGATCATTCTAATTTAATGTTTCCCTCTTTGCAATAGAGTCCTAAACCTAATTGCTAGTCTTAAGTAGTGTAGATCCTTCAAACAATTGGTAGCTACTACTGAATTAACACTTTTGTAAATTCAATTGATTAAATGGAACTACTCTAGGACTACTTATTGGATTTAGGCCAGTGAAGGCTATCAGAATCATAAAGAATTTGTCATGTGTTCATATAAAAAAAGCAAACAAAAACCCTTCAAGTATCTGACATTGTAAGGAGACTGGTTTTTTTTAAAGAATCTTTAAAATATTTAAAATTTTTAAAAATGGTGGTAGCATATGATAGTTAGCTTGACAAATGATGACATACATGGTATTCAGGCAGTCTCATTCTGCCACCTAGTGACTACTTCAACATAGAATCTTTCTGGTGGTGAAGAAATTCATGGTGACCCAAAGCAACAAGTACTGCAGTCAGAGAACCGCTGGAAGCCTATGTAGCAGTACAGGCAATTCATATTCAGTATTTTAAAAATGGATAAATTAGCTTTGCAAATGTGAAAGGCCGCAGATAATAAAGAACACAATAATCCACAAATCTAGTGTGTTTCAGAAAGTGAATTATTTTACTGTGAAATATCCCAAACCTGTTCCACAGTTAAGTAAGCTTTCTACAAAGAATGGTGCAGTTTAGCTGAAGCTAGAACAAGATGAATCAGGAGACTCATGGGGAGAGGTAAATTGTGTGGCCCATGCCATGCACCCCAGGCTGGCTCTACACTGCGATATAATGCAGTTTGGAACACCGAAGATGCATATAATGCAGTTCAATCAGTTCCAAACTGCAGTTTATGGCAGTGTAGATTCAGCTCTATAAAAACAATTCTGACTAATTTCCATGAACAGAGATCCTTCTCCCTTGAGTCAACAAATCACTATTCACTTCACTGATATTCTTCAGAGTGATCTTAGAAGCACAGATTTTGGCAATTTATGTCACTGAATTGTTCTCTCCACTTTTTATACAGTTGACAGAAAAGATAACAGTAAAACCACACTTACGTGTATACTAGGTTATATTTATTTAACTTACGATCCTCTTCTTCAACTGAAATTTTTAACCATTGCTCTTGTGGACCCTTTCGTTGTTCTTCCAAGTCCCAACTTAACTGAATATTGTGATGGCTCACATGGCCTACAATTGGAGGCTGTGGCTTTAAGATGGAGCGTCTTTCTGTAAATGAACCACATCGAAGTGTTATCCTTAATACAACAATAGAAAAAACATCTCTCAAGTACTGCACTGAAAAGCACAAAGCATTACTGGGAGAAATCATGGAGACTCAATTAATTATTTCTTGTTTGAGTTCATCTTATAAACGATTCTACTATGTTGTTAGTACACTAACACTTTGTCTGAATAAACTATTTCAAAATGGAAACTGTTTTCATTCATTGTAATAAATCTGAACATAAATCGTCAACAAAATACTTAAATTAAGAAAACAGTATCTTTAGTTCAACTGTGCTGTTCAGAACCTGGGTTTTACGACATCAAAACTATACTTAAACAAGAAACAGAAACATGATGAGAACATTTAAAGGCCTACAGATCATCTTGGATTAAAAAATACAATCTTGGAAGAAATAGGATCAAAAAAGCAAAATTCCCAACCCACACTAAGATATTAATATACAAATAACTTTAATTGAAAGGGTTTTGTTTTTGTTGTTGTCTTAAAATGAGTTTAGAGGGTACCAGTAGATATTCAAGACAGCTATATATCTGTACACAGTTTAAAGTCTTAGATATGTACTGTATCAAATTGCCACGGCACCAATGGGCCCAGGAGGGCATCACCATCACCCCCCTTAAGGCCGCCATGGCACCAATGACCCCAGGAGGGCCTCACCATCGCCCTCCTCGAGGCTGCAATGGCACCAAAAGACCCAGGAAGGCCTCACCATCGCCCTCCTTGAGGTCACTGTGGTGTCAACAGACCATGGAGGGCATTACCATCGCCCTCCTTGAGGCTGCCACAGCACCAACAGACCCAGGACGGCCTCACCATCACCCTCCTCAAGGCTGCCGTAGCACCAATGAACCCAAGAGGACTCTCATATCGCCCTCCTTGAGGCTGCCGCAGCACCAATACACCTCACCATTGCCCTCCTTGAGACCGCCATAGCACCAAGAGATCTAGGAGGGCTCCGCGATCACCCTCTACCAAGCCACCACAGCTCCAATTGTTTTATTTGCTGTTTGTTTGTTTTCACGATGGATGTTTGCCACTTTGTTACTTTTGTCTGCAAACCACTCTTGAGTCCCTTTGGGGAGATAGGGTGGTATATAAATAAAGTATTATTATTATTATTATTATTATTATTATTATTATTAAAGTTATTTACATAGTTACATCTTACAGGAAAATCTATTATGTGATGGGGAAAGCTTTATTCACGGTCCTTTTCTAGGGATCTCAGAAATATTAGCTCAATTCTTTTTTAAAAAATCTATATCAACCGAAGGTCTAAGAAAGTCAGCATTATAATATCTTGCAACAAAGTCAGTTCTGGAGTTTTATTTACTTTTTCTGAAGTCGCCTGAAACTCATAAAACATTAAACAGAAATGATTCCACTTTTAATAATCTTTTTGAATTATTAAAACCAATTATTTAAACAGAATAACTTAGTACAAAAGAATCTTTTCCATCTACAATCAACTTCCCTTTGCAAAAAACAAGAACTGACATAACAAAAATAAAAACATGAAATATAACAAAACAAAAATGGCACTAAAATATTCAAGAAAGCAACAACTGTCCAAATAGCTTAAGATGTTTTCTTGACTCTTTTGCCTCTCAGTAAAGAGCAGAAGGATGACTCTTAGCTCTAAATCCAATGTGGACAACTGTTGGGAGTTAGGAGTGACACCCAAAAAGAACCTGAAAGGCTGTACTCCATTAAAATAAAGAGAATTCAGTTCCCCTCCAATCCCTCTGGAGTTGCAAAGTAATTTTACATATTTTTAAAAGTCCCTGCTTATGCAACCCATGAAGAGCTTTTTAAAAAGAACAACAAGAAGTAACTTCTAACAACTGTGGAAGAGAGGGTTCCTCAGGCCTAAAACAGTTCAATGGAAACTCAAAACATAGTGAAATTGCATTTGAGTGTCCTTATTCACAGCCAGTCACTGTGAGGCTCTGCTCTGCTAGAAGCATGTAGGCTAGACTAAATGTTCCTTAGAATGCCTAAATAAATGAGAAAGAATAATCCCTATTTCACCTTGAACTGGGAATAGTTCTATTAGGTAAGATTTTTATCTTACTTTCCAAGCAGGAACATGATATATACTCTCATACACACACTGCTCTCTCTATCTCTATCTCTGGGCCCTTCCACACAGTCATATAACCCAGAATATCAGGGCAGAAAATCCCACAATATCTGCTTTGAACTGTTTTATCTGAGTCCACACTGACATATATTCCAGTTCAAAGCAGAAAATGTGGGATTTTATTCAGCTGTGTGGAAGGAGCCTCTGTTTCTCTGTATGTGAGCAACTGCAGTTTCACTTACAAACACAAACATATATTCATTACAATTCACCACTTTTGCATCACATTTCTGGATATTTTTACATTAATCTCCAGCATTGTAACACAAAGGAAACATGTCCTCAGGCTTAAAAATCAAACACCACGCACTAATCAATCTGATTAATGGATAGAGGAAAATGCAGAAGAGAACAAAAACATCCTAAGTGAGGGACTGGGCTTACTTACTTCAAGTGATACAGTTCATGTGCTGTTTAAATCCGGCCCCATCTACACTCCCACATAATGCAGTTTAAAACTGTAGTATGTGGTCAGTGTAGAATCATATAATGAAGTTCAGTTCATTATACGGAGTGTAAATGGGGCATCTATCAGTTGCAGGGGGTTAATAAAAAAGATAGCCTTCAACTTTGAGGTAGGAATAAAATACTTGAGACTCTTGTAGTAAAGGAAATGAAATAGCTTGAAACATTGCATGATTGGCAAAATATCATTTAAATCTCTCTTTTTAAAAAAGGTAGAAATTTAGCCGCAAATAACATTGTCTCCTGACACATATGTCCCATCTGGAAATGACAGATTGCCAATTACATAGAAGAGGCCCTTAAAAGAAAATCGGATCTCGTATCTTGAATACGTCAATGTTCAATCCAACAGAACCTTTTATGAAAGCAGTTAAATCACTCTATTAAGCATAGAAACCAGGTAGTCCTGAGATGTTCATTCTACTTCATTGTCCACAGGAAAACAGTGGAAAGCTCTTGATGTGGAACACATAGCTAGTGCATTATCAAACACACAGCTGCTTCAGGACAGTACAAGCACTCTTTTCTGAAGGGAATACATTCCCAGACTTTCAATTAATACATAAAATAACAAATCCTACTATTTTAAATGGGAAAAACAACACTGGTACCAAGAAAAGAGTGTATTTTGTACAGGACGCCCATGGACCACTATTGGTCCACAAGAACTAAAATATGGTCCGCGGCCTCACCATTACAATATCGTTGCAACAAGAGCTACTAGTCTCACGGAACCCTCTTATACTGCCGAAGCTTATTAAATATGGCAGCGAGGAGATGGTGACTACTGAATGGTATATGTTCTTATCGGAAACTAGAGCCCATGTGGTTTATCCAATGCAATTTTCTGAATCAGCATCTCAAATAACCAAACCAAATCTAAAGTTGACCAAAAACTTATTGGTAACACTTTTAGTACTAATGTTGGAGAGTGGTCCCTGGTCAAAGAAAAAAGTTGGGAACCACTGCTCTAAGTGAATAAGTGAAACTGTGGATAAGTGAAACTATCTATATTAATTCCACAGATAGTGATTCCAGAGTTCAGTAAAGTTATTTTTAGGCTTCAACTCCCCGAACACTCTGGATATCGCAGTACAAAACGGTGCTTATTCTACCACTTGACTAATAATCACACAAAATGTGATTGCACACAATAGATTCTAAACTGTTGCCTAAATAAAATGAATATATGTGCAATACAATTACTGTTTTTGTTCTAAGTTGATTTCTAGATATTCAGACAAAGGGCAGGATACCAATATTTAAACCAATAGTTTGTACCCAACAGTGCTTTTCTGTCAGAATAACTCTCTCCTTCCTTACAGCCCTTTGCATATCCCTCAAAATGTCTTCAAATAGTTGGGGTAACAATTGAAAACAATCTTGAGTGGGGGAGAGGGGAAGAGAAATTCTTGCAGAAAAGACATAAACTTCATATGCAAGTTTATTTCTGCAAAATATTATTTGTTCTGAGATCATATCTGTGTAGGGATACTATATTGTAATACCAATGTAAATTCAATCCAGAGTGTCTCTTGTAATCACAGATACATTAAAGAACTGCTAACTATATAAACGTAGAGCCTTCATCATGAATTTACTGGAGAACTAGTGTCTGTTTTTATGCATCTGAGCCAAGCCATGTTAGTCTTCATACAGAAAATTTGCCTAATCGTATGCCTTAAATGTCCTTAATATCAGAAATAAAATATGCCTGATTTTTCCCTTAAGTATCCTGTCTTATTAAGACTGTAAAGTAAACCTGTAAACCACTTCAGCCTTTGTGGCTGAAGAGACAATATTGCAAATAAATAAAGTCATTGTAAAAAATAACACGTCATATTAAAATAGCCTAGATACTTGTGGTGAACAACTAATGCATGCTGATTTTCAATGAACTGATTAAATTTGTATTGTTCGCATTATGCTAATGAAGGCACTACAAAAAGAATGATTAATTATCTTAGAAAGCATCAATTAAACATTTTATCCAAAGTAACCTGCTTATATTCATAAACAGCATTCCTTACTAAACTAGCAATGTATACATCACATTTATCTGGTAGGCTTGGGCCAAATTGGTTTGAACGAAAATGATTTGCAGTATTCGGTGGGCCATTTTACATAATCTCCAAAAACAGAACAGAGAGGAGGGAGTCAAAAAGCCTGGCAATAGGATTTTATCTGGTTCCTAGAGTGGAAGGGGTTAAATCTGCAATATACCTGAGGAACAGTTCCTTAGACTCCTCCTCCAGAGAGGATGCTGCCGAGAACTCGCTTTCCCTGCAGCACTTGCATGGGGCGGACAGTCTTTAAAGTGCATTGGAGTGTGTTGCCATCTCTATGCAGATAACATGCAATTCTACTACT